CCTTCTAATTTAATACTATGTCCTCTTGTTGTGGTAGTTTTTCTTCTTTTAAATATAGTCTCCTCCTTTACTGTGTTGATTCCCTTTATATATTTAAATGTTTCTATCATATGCCCCCTGTCTCATCTTTCCTCAAAGCTATACATGTTAAAGGACCACTATAGTGCCAGGAAAACATACTCGTTTTCCTGGCACTATAGTGCCCTGAGGGTGCCCCCACCCTCAGGGACCCCCTCCCGCCCGGCTCTGGAAAGGGGAAAAGGGGTAAAACTTACCTTTTCCAGCGCTACGGGAGCTCTCTCCTTCTCTCCTCCTCCTCCGCTCCTCCTGGTTGAATGCTGCAAGAGCTGGCTACAAGATCAGCTCGCAGATAGGAAAGCATACAATGCTTTCCTATGGACTTGAGAGGTTTCACTGTGATTTTCAGTGAGAAACATGTAGCGTTTAGCGGCTGTCAATGAGACAGCCGCTAGAGGAAATAGGAAGGCTTAACCCATTATAAACATAGCAGTTTCTCTGAAACTGCTATGTTTATAAAAAAATGGGTTAACCCTAGAAGGACCTGGCACCCAGACCACTTCATTAAGCTGAAGTGGTCTGGGTGCCTAGAGTGGTCCTTTAAGTTCCTTTAACCTTTCCTGGTAAGTTGTATCCTGCAATCCATGAACCAGTTTAGTATCCCTTCTCTGAACTCTCTCTAAAGTATCAATATCCTTCTGGAGATACGGTCTCTAGTACTGTGTACAATACTCCAAGTGAGGTCTCACCAGTGTTCTGTACAATGGCATGAGCACTTCTCTCTTTCTACTGCTAATACCTCTCCCTATATAACCAAGCATTCTGCTAGCATTTCCTGCTGCTCTATTACACTGTCTGCCTACCTTTAAGTCATCAGACAATGTAATAGAGCAGCAGGAAATCATCATTCCCTTACTTACTTTGTCTTGAAAGACTACAGATGTCTAACACATGTATGTCCCATATTATGGTATGCTGCTCACCAATAGCTCTATTCATGGAGAAAACATGAAATTAACTTTTCAATAAGGTGATAGAAGGTACAATGCAGTTTCTATTAGCTTCCTTAGCAGTTTCATTCAAAACATCTACCGAATGCTCAACCAAATGTCTCAAGCTCCTGCTCTGCGTGGAGTAGTGAATATGCTCAGCAATCCTTTCGAAGTAATGGAATTTCCAGGATTGACAAAAAAAATCACTGCAGACGCTGCAAATCTTTAAGAACTCCCACGTTTTGATTTTTTTTTTTTTAAATAGTTGCATGCTTGTTTGTTTTTTTAAATTAATAAATATTATGAATTAATAATAGAATTCATCTCACATTTTAATTGCGTTCTACAAGAGTATTCAGATGATCCTGACTTTACATATCGAGATTATACATGCATCCCACTGGACAGCGCTACGGAATCTTATGGCGCTATATAAATAATAAAATAATAATAATAATCCTGGTCTAAAATGTGAAGTATGAAAGAACGAGAAACAGCTTCAATGTGGAAAGGAAATTTAAAAATATCTCCTAAGATGTTTTACTGACCATTAATGGACCACTGAAATGAATTCAAAAATACAGCCAGCCCAGAGCAATGATTGATAAGATGGGAAGCTTCAGGCAAGTTCGGTGAGACAGTCTAAATGTATTCAAGTTTTAGAAAAAGATAAATAAGCGTATGTTTTGGATTTATAGAGAAATGTTTCCCTTAGGGCAGAATATTGCATGATTTATTGTAACAACGATTCTCAGAAACAAATTATATTCTGAAACATTTTGTGTGCATGGATGGACATAGCTTAAAGGTAAAGAAACATAACATTTTTAGCCAGCTGCCGTTGACCACCCAAATAACATGAGACAGTTTGGAAAAAACACTGGACTATCTCAATAAATCATTGTGAGAAATATACAATCTGATCTCATCAGATTTAAATAAGAATCTGACAATTAAAAAAAAAAACAATAATGAAAACAAGATGTTTGTTGTATCATTTCATTACATTAAATGTGTTTAGTGGTTAATTTAAAGGTTTATTTTGACTCTCTTTCCTTAATGTATAGAGGCATCTTATAGTGGACACATTTAAAATGTTGGTTTGTTTTTTCAAATTTGGTTTGTGGTTTACAGCTTGCCAAAGAAACAGGTCTTAATCTGAGCTTTAATTGTTGTTGTCTCTGAATGTATCCACTTTTCATTGCTTGGGGAGTTTATTTTTCATAAAAACGAAAAGTTCTGGTACTCGCTTTTCTTCCAGTAAATTAATGTGTATTTAAATCAGTTTTTTTTAGGGCTGGAACAAACAGTTCTGCAACCGGAGGGGAAATGCAGAGATTTGCAAAAACATTGACAGGTTAATTAGGTACCGATGAAGCATACGTGTGGAGAAGTCTTCCTTTTCCTTTTCAAAATATCCCTACGGGAACAGGACTATTAATAAACACAGCCTAGTTTTCATAGTATTCATGGCTGCCCAACATTCATGGACCCTCCTCGTGCCTTAGTCTGAGTCATCATAAGATACTTTTAACCTCTGAAGACATTCATGTAATTAACGGACTTAAAGGGAAACTACTGTGCCAAGAAAACAAAGTTTTCCCTGGCACTATAGCTCCCTATATTGCCCCCCTAAGTCAGACCCCCGACATGGCGCAGAAGGGGTTCAAAACTCCTTCTGTCACTTACCTAAGTTCTGCGCCGATGTCCCTCGGCGTTGGCTCGGACTTTAGCTCTGTTCCTCCCCCTCCTACATCAGCCGGCTGGGGAGACGTAATGCACATGAGCGGCAATGGACGCATTAGTATTTTCCCCATAGGAAAGCATTATACAACATCCTGGAAGTCCCTCTAAAGGCTGTCTTGTAGACAGACACTAGAGGTGGTGTTAACCCATAAAGGTAATTATTGCTGTTTCTTAAAACTGCCATAATTACCTTTGCAGGGTTTAGGGACTTGGGAATATGCACCCATGTCACTTAAACGAGCAGAAGTGGTCTGAGTGCCTATAGCGTCCTTTAAGCGGAGTATTCAATAAAGAAAACAATAAGCTTGCAATTGTTATTAAGTTCCACATAAATTCCCATGCATTCACATACCACCAGGTCTGCCATCAGTCATTTTTGTCCCTTTACAAAAACACTGTCTTGGCCCTCTAGCCATACTCTTCCAGATTTGTGTATACAAGCACTTACATATACTCACAGAGACACATATACCCACACAAGCATACACAAATACACATTCCCAGGAACAAACAGATATGCATCTCAGACAGATACACACATACATACACCCACTGACCTACACACAGATATGCACCACCACACTCACACACACATAGATGTACACTGCATTCACACAAACTGACAGACACAAAAATACTTTCACTGCGAGCTACACACACTCTCTCTGCCAGGTACACACATTTAATGCCAGACGCACATATTAAGGAATTAAGCAAGAATCTTAACAGGGTAACGATTGTACCCCCTGACGGCGGCCGTGGTAGTGAAGGCAGGAAGGGGCTCATGGTGTCTGCGACTGTACCTGGCAACGAAGGGCCCCCAGTCCCACTGAGTCCTTTAGCGGTTGCACCAACTACACTACTGATAGTTCCGCATCTGATTATAACAATGATTGACAGGTAGATGGAGGCATCAAGTTCCAGAGTAGATACAGTAGTGTGGATTTCTACATGTATTATATTTTCCCGACCTTACAAACAAATCAATGCAGCAAATTTCATGAGGAACCCAAATTCAGAATTTCTTATCTAATTAAACTATCATTTCTATAATTTGGCAAAATGCAATAAAGCTACGGTTCTTATCATTCACTCACTGCTGCGATGTCTACATGTTGCATAATTTTGACACCATCCATTATGTTTGGGGATATTTGCATCTCTCGTAAAACAATGCTTGTGAGCGTGCTGCTTCATTTCGTCATGACTTCAGTTTAAGTGATTAAGTCCAACTTCATTATAAGTTGAAATGTATTCCTTATCACTTTATGCCACATCGGGTTGTTTTCTGGCTCACAGTAACCTTTAATTGTTAATTGCAAAAATCGCTTTTTCTCCCAGCGCTCCGGTCCCGCATCCTTTCTTTTTTTCATTTCTGATTCTTTTTGCCATTTTAATTTTGAAAACGATTATTTGTAATTGTCATTTCCTCCTGAGTAAGGCAAATAGTCTTTTACAAATCCAGTGTCTAGTTTCAGCGGTGGGCCTATTATTTTTAAATACATATAGCTATGGTATTAAAACAATCCATATTAAAAAGTCCTATTACAGCCAAATCCAGATTATTCCAATTAAAAAAACAGTGCTTTAATAAAATACAGTTTTTGGCTAATTAACCCTTACTGGCATGGTCCTCTCTGAAAAAAAAATAAAGAAATAAGGTAAACAAACTTACCTTTACTTTAGATTGTAAGCTCACAGGCTATCTAGCTAAGCACTTTGTATAAAAGAGCTTCAATGGCTATAAATCAGCTTACGGGCAGGGCCCTCTCTAATTTTTGTATTTGTCTTTGTATATTGTACGTCCTCCATGTTTTGCCTCCTTTGGACACTCATCATATATAACTATGTATGGGGGGGCGTGTCCGGCAAGCACTGAGAACGAACGTGTGAGCGCTCAGCACCGATCCTGGGCAATCTTAGTCTGCACCCAAGCACAGCAACCCGGCAAGATGGGAAACAAAAAACGGGACTCTACCCCGGCCAAAGAGGCCAAAGCATATCTCGGGGTCACGATTTCAGCCCTTCATCAAATATTTAGGCGAAAAAGCTGACGAAGAACCGGAGGCCTCAAGATCCAATCTGACGTCGCGAGCACCCTCCCCGACGGCCTTGCAAGCCAGCTGCTCACTGTCAGAAGCTTCTATGATTCCTGAAGCAGACATACAGGAGATACTGAATTAACTGCCATCCAGGGGTGACATTGCTCACATGCTGACAGACTTGGACAAGTCTATCTAGGCAATGATCTCTGAACTGGGGACAGGGCCCAACTCCCTGGACGCACATGTGCAACAACTTGAATCAACCACTGACACTCACAGCACACAAATCACGTGCTCCATGCAGCAATTCAGTATGTTAAACACCAAACTTATATCACTGCGCCGGTACATGGAAGACCTAGATAATAGGGGAAGACGGAACAACATCCGTATTAGGGGTCTCCTGGAATTTAATACTGGCATAGAAAATCTACCTCAGATTTTGACAGGCCTCTTCAACTCTTTCCTGAACTGCCCGAAAGACACAGTTATTAAGCTAGACAGGGTGCACAGACCCCACAGACCCAAAGGAAGGCCAGAAGAAACGCCACATGATATAATATGCTGCCTCTGTGACTTCACACTAAAAGAAGCCATCATGAGACAGACAAGCTAGAATAACACCTGCTATTCGTTATATGGAACATCCTATACAGCTGTTCCAGGATCTGTCATGGATAACCACACAGGGCCAGAGAGCCCTGGCGCCCATCACTAATCATCTAAGAGATAAGCAGTTTAAATACAGATGAGGCTTTTCCAAAATCACCACAACCACTGCGCCGATGGGATGCGACACCTCCCCGACAGAACTCTCCACCAGTGGCGGGACATTTCTCTAGGCACGCAGATCAGAACTGACTCTGTTAAGAAGCTGAATGACAAAATTCACCTTGTAGCGGATAGCCCTGTGCTGTCCTGAGCAATTCATGTATTTCTATGCATTCGTGTGAAAATGGCAAAGTCTATGTATTTGATGTATTGGATTCGTCTGAATGTTAGGTAGTTTCATTCCCTTAGTTTGTTTGAATGAAACTACTGAACAGTCAGACCTCCCATGTGTGAAGTGTGTTCTCAATTACCCGTTGCAACATTGTTGCGAACGGGTAATTGGCAAGTGAAGTAACCGTCCTTTGTTCTCGGGGGTGGCCGCCATTCGAAAAACGAACACGTGGCGGCGGCCATTTTAAAACTCCCGAACAGCGGTGTTTTGCCGTCGAGTGTCTGGAACTCAAATCGGACACTCGACTAGGTGAACACCGCTGAAACCTCCACAAGCCCGGTCCGTTCGGTTCCTAACTACCGAACGGCCCCTCGTTCGGTAGATAGAAAGAACCGAACGAGGGGATTCAGGCGAACCCTCCCTAGCCTCTATAGCTAGAGGCTTTCATGCAGTTTGTTCCCTTACTCCAGGACCGACCGCAGGGCCCATTCGCATGGAACCGCATTCAGCTGTCTCAGTCAGTGTGGTCGATCATTTTATTCCCTCCATAGATTTCCTGAACCCCTGGTCTGATCTGGGTGATTTTTGGATATGTTGTTCACCCAGATCAGGGCTATCAGGGGGTGTAGGATTTAAAGGGGTTTAGGGGTACATCCAGAAACGGGGGAAATTACTGTACTGGATAAGGGGATTATGATGCAGGCTGAGGGGAGGAGATGTGTGGGAGGTTACCAGGACAGGATTGGCTACTGTACTAATGATTGTAAATCCCTCCCTTGCATGGGAGCATGCTTTAAATGGACAGTGTGGATTAAAGATTTCAGTTCCGCTCCTGAAACTGTCGTGTCGTCCAGTTATTGGGATTGCTGTTGGGATATTGCTGTTATTTTACCTGCTGGAAACCTTGCCTGTGGATTTACTATTTACTTGTTCCTGAGCCTCACTTGGATTATAAGCGGAGATAACCTGGGGAATATTGCATCTCCGCTACACACCTCACTGGTGAATTCGCAAGACGACGGTTGTAATGTATATAATATACTAGGTTTCTGTACTACTTACCCTCACTCATGTGTTTCTTAGACCTTGTTTGGTTGTGGCACAGGGAATTAATCTATCTACCCGTCCCGACCTACTAAACCCGGTCGCAGGCACAATTCCTGCTACCATACCCCTAACCTCATGCATACCCATTGAGGACTTATTGCCTCTGCATTAAGCTTTATATATATATATATATATATATATATATATATATATATAAATATACAACTGTTCTAGTTTATTTTTTATATTTTAAATTTGAGGAGGGAAAGGAAGAAAAATAAAACTCTCTTATGCAACTGTCAGGAAACTCAATGCCCTAACTATACCGATGCACCCACCAACTGGCTGTGTAGCCCTGACTGGACTATAGTGGTTCAACCATAGTTCGCCCAGCCATCTTGATAGATGAGCATGCTTAGCTCACCAATGACTATCCACCACCCACACACCCCCAAGAAGCCATGCTACAAACTGAGAACCGCAGGGCAGCAGGGCCCCTATCCTGCATACCAAAGGTTGACACGAATCTCCTCACATGTGATTCACGATAGAATCACACATTCACAAAATTAATGTTCGCAACCCTATACCCCACTGTTATTTCATTCCTATGTTATTCTTGTTCCTTTTCGTTTTAGAAGGCTATCTGTGACTGTCAAGCTACCCTTTAGAGATATCACTGCATGTGTACTCCTGTGTGTTTTGTGTAATATGCTGTGAATATTCGTGAAACGGGTAATATAAATGTCTTACGCTCCTCACTGACAACGAAAGCTCACATAATTAGTTTGAAATGTGCTCACATGTAGTGTCTATGAATGTCAGGGGGTTGAATGTGCCTGAGAGACGTCACCTGCTCCTTACGGAATTGAACAAAAATGGGGGCTGATGTAGCAATGATACAGGAAACCCAGTTTAGAAAGGTCACGGCACCGCCTCTGAGGGATCGCAGATATACGCAGGGCTATTTCATTGACTATAAATGGGGGAAAGCGAGAGATACAAGAGCTTGCGGAAACTATTCTCAAACTACATTTGGTTTGGAAAACGTCCTAGACTTTCCTTCCAAACATTAACTAGACCGAAAGACAATGGGGGCCTTAGTCTACCGGACCCGTTCAAATATTATCTAGCAACCCAATTCACCAGGATACTTGACTGGTGTCGTCCTACCAGTACGCAACAGTGGAAATACCTTGAACAAGAAGAGGTACAACTTCCACTATCCTCCGTACCCTTGCACACAGTATCCCTGTCCCGCATATGCCCATTGAGGACTGGTGTTTGGGCATACAAAGCACTCCAAAACCACTTTCACTGATATACAATACCCTTTTACAAGCAGACAATACACTACCACCCAAGTACACAGACGAATGGACTAGGGAAGTAAATATCACTCACTCACCAAAATGTTTCAGTCGACACATAAAAATGCACTCAACATACCTATGATTGAAACAAACTATAAAATACTAGCAAGATGGTACCGTACTCCTGTAAGTTTACAACATATTTATCCGGGGGTGTCTGACACCTGCTAGAGATGCGGGAATGCATACAGGCATATATGGTGGGAGTGCAGAGTCCTGGCGGCATACTGGAAAACGATTCTTACCCTGATAGCAACACTAGCTCAGATACCCAAACCACGCTCCTTTGAGGAAATCTTCTTTCATTTGTCACTTAAACCCTCTAGGAAATACCACAAATCCCTGGAATACTACCTACTAACAGCTGCAAAAACTCTCATGCCCAAGTATTGGAAGCAGCAGTCACCACCACCTGTAGAGGAATGGTACTCTAGGGTAGAACATATTCGACAAATAGAGTAAAGTACCTATTCTCTATCAGGTCATAAGACTATGTACCCTAGTATATGGGGGACCTGGATAACACATATGAACATGGGTGGGGGACTGGCAGTCACAGCGGACGCATTACAGACTTCTAGGGGTTTGGCACTCTCCGGGCGCTGACAACCTATAGACATTGAAACCTTTCTATATTCTAGACCATGCAAGCATACACAAGGCCCCCTGTGCTGGACATCTGTGCTGGACATTACTAATCAATAACAACCGACAGGGGGCGAAACCTCGAATCCCACGGGAGATAGACGCGCACTCACACAGTCACTATAGCCAACTTCATCTTTTCAGTTACGTTCTCACTAGTTTACTACCCTTATCTCTTTACTTTTTTATATTGCCCACACTCTTTTGTTTGAGGTGCTTCCAATTCACCTGCATTTACTCCAAATACCACACAGTAGAAAAATGGCACTCACACTGACCAACAACATATTGAACATACAGACACATCACTACACACCTTTGTATGAGGAATTGCTGAACCCATCACTATACTAAAGCTTGACAATAGGTTGTGGACAGCAGCTACAGGCATATCATCTTGAATAGACATATTAAACTACTACCTGATGCTGCAATTATGATGTGATGCAATATGTAACAAATCACAATGAATGATACCGGACAATGTTGTTCCCTGTCTGGATCTCCGCACCCACCTCGTACCATGTACCATAAGCGAACTGAGTGTCTATTTGTATACTGTGCGATCACTTACTACAATGTACAAGTATCTTTGTATTTTCTGAAAAAACAAATAAAAATAAAATAAAAATTATTTATATAACTATGCATGATTTGAAGGTCAGAAAATGTCCCAAGATGCATTTGTGAGATATGTGGTGTGTGTGCATGAAGTCATGATTTCTAAATGTACTATAGCTTTTAATTGCCTGTATGTCTGTTGGTTGAATAAAAAGTGCTTCTGACCAAAGAAGACTTAAAGATGGCCGCCTCCCTAGGGCAAGGGTTGACATGCTGAAAAGATGTGCACATTACAATTTAATACACACAGAATAATACATCTTCTCTATTAAATTGCAACACAAATGCGACAGTTTCCCACTAATGCGTGTGTATTTATAGTAACTTTAAAAAGTACGTTTGCATTGAGCTAATTTATGCATCAGTATGCCCCTGGCATATTCTTAATTACATGAAGCGGCTGTATTCTGTTGATAAAATTATAGCCATTTATAATGTCAAAGCAGGCGGTGACAGATAATGCATTGTAATAACTAAAAATGGTTTGTTCATGTTCAGACAAAATTCCAGTTCATGCAAACGTGGCGTCATTTGTTCGTTCATCCGAATCCCAGCTGATTGAACCACCTTTACAACAGATTAAAAGAAAGTTGCTAATCACTAATCAAGTGGTTTAGTCTGAAGATTCGTGCTTCCCTCCTTCGTCAATCTTTGGAGGGCTATTGTCAGGAGGCCGGCGGCTTTACTTATCTTCAGCCAATCACATGGTGCGCTGATTCGGCCCTGTGAATCCCTCCTTCCCTCCTCCTCTTCTTCCAGCATTTTGGATGCCGAACATTGCCCTTCTGCCTCTTTTTATGATGGGCACTTATATTTTGGGGGCATGGTAATACCCAATCCAATGTTTCTTGCCCTAGTGTGGCTTATTGATTCCTTTAATGTGTTTATAGTGTTCTTTACTGTGATTTTGATCCGACTATCCTTTTGACCATCCTTGGCTTTGTCTAGTTTTCTTGTTGACCTGCTTTCTGGAATCCCTTGACAATG